AAAATAAATAAACATTAAAAAAAATTAAAAATAAATAAATAAACTTTAAAAAATAAAATGAAAAAAATAAAGACATTTATTGAGTAACATATGAGGCAATGATGCTAAGCCCTTATATTACTTATAATATAAGGTCAGGGTGTTTTCCTGTTTGGCTCACTGCTTTATTCATAATGCCTACAGCAGTGTCCAGACCCATAGAAAGGGCTTAATAAATATTTGATGAATGAATGGATACATTCTGCAGATATACTCTGCGGTTCTCCAAGTGTAATCCACAGACTCTGGGAGTGCCTAAGAGAATTACAGGGAGTCTGCAAGGTCAGAACTATTTTCATGATAATATGAAGACATGATTTGCTTTTTCACTGTGTTTACATTTTCACTAATGGTGCAAAGACAACAGCAGGTGAGATGGCTGGCACCTTAGTGTGAATCAAGGTGCTAGACTCATGGTATTCTCTTCTGCCACACCTATGCAATAAAATAATTAAAAAGCCATTTTCAAAAATTAAAAAAAAAAGCCACTTTCAGGGTGCCTGGCTGGTTTACTCTGGCTCATTCAGTAGAGCATGGGACTCTTGATCCCAGGGTTATAAATTTGAGCCCCCTGTTAGGCATACGGTTTACTTAAAAATCTTAAAAAAAGAAAAAACACTTTCACTTAAACTATGAAACAGTACAAATAATTAATTTTGTGAAATCTCTCTTCTGGAGTATGTATCTTTTAAATGTTCTGTGTAATGAAATGGGAGTTTTACATAAAAACCCTTCTGCCACTTACTGAAGTATATGGTTGTGTGATTGAGATGTGTGAACTGAACGAGCTTTTCCCCCCCCCCATAGAACACCATTTTTTCCCATCTAAGTACTAACCAGGGCTTACTCTGCTAGTTTCCAAGATTGGGAGTGTTCAGGACGGTACGGACATGGACTTTAGAACACAAGTTTTGTGGGGCACCTGGGTGGCTCAGTCGGTTGAGCGTCAGGTTTCGGTTCAGGTCATGATCACATGGGTTTGAGTTTGAGTCCCGCGTTGGGCTGTCCTGACAGCTAGGAGCCGGTTCCAATTCTGTGTCTCCCTCTCTCTCTGCTCCTCCCCTGCTTGTGCTCTGTCTCTCTCTCTCAAAAATAAATAAATACACACTAAAAAAAAATTAGAACACAAGTTTTGCTTGAAAGAATGACAGGGAAACTATAGTTATTCAGACTTGCATATTTGAATGGAATGAGCCTGGCACATGAAAGAAAAGTGACTTAAAGTACTTTTGTCAATGATAAAATTTGAGCTTTCAAGAAAAAATTGTAATTTTGGAAAAGGTGTTTGGTATCCACCAAAGTGAGCTTGACAGCTTTCCAAGATTTTTGTGATGAGATCAATGATTATAATGCATGTGATTTTTTTTAGTGTTGAGTAGTGAAATGCATCAATATTTGGAAGATCTGCATAATTCAGTAAACCAATATTTTCTAAGTGGTTTCAGATTCCCCATTGCAATTAATCTTTAAGAAATTACCGTTTGTTGAGTTTTGCTAGTATCCACAGTTATTGGAGAAGGCTAAAAATACTCCTTCCTTTTCTAACTATGTATCTGTGAGAGACTGGAGTTTCTTCATTTCCTAGACCAAAATAACAGCAAATCAGAGAAAATGGGGAGGAAATATGGGAATCCAGCTGTCTTCTATTATGCCAGACGTTAAAGAGATTTGCAAAATTGTAATGCAATGACACTCTACTAATTTTTTGGGGGAAGTGTAGTTATATTTCATAAAACATATTAACATGTATTGGTTTATTATTATTTTAGGTGAATTAATACATGTTCTTAAATTTCTCAATTTTAATTTCTAATCCAGTGAATATCCCACATAAACACTCTTAACCAATTTTGAAGAATGTTGGGGTGCCTGGCTGGTTCAGTCCTCAGGACGTGGCACTCTTGATCTTGGGGTCGTGAATTGGAACCCCACGTTGGGCGTACACTTTACTAAAAAAAAAAAAAAAATGTAAAGGGATCCTGAGACTAAATGTTTGAGAAAAGCTTTTCTGAGGTTTGTGCATAACCTCCATTCTACAGATGAGGAGACTAAGACTTAAAAAGATTTAGGATCAGGTTAAGCCCCCACAGTCCAGTGCAGTGCTGGGTATTGCACCAAGGCTGTCTGAAGCCAGAGCTTGTATTTTGTGACCCTTTTCCCTTGACATTATTATCTTTGCAAAAATTACCTTTAAACAGGTTGTTAATAGACGTTTCAACAACATAAAAAAATCATGATATCCAACGTATTTTCTTTTTTACTAACCAGCTGCGCGATTCTTCTTTGGGCTTGTTTCCGCGAGTCAAACGGGTGTTTGCTGGGCCATCTCAGTTCGGTTTTCGCTCTGACAATCCCTGGTTTTACCAACGTGAGTTGGTCAGTGGGTTCGCCCGCCCTTGATAACTCCGCGGGGGAACTGCAACCCAGTGGTTCAAATGGGGAAGCTCTCGGGACTTTGAGACATTCCAGGAATGTGGGCGTTTTCTTCCCCGACCCTCCCACACTCCAGATGGCCCTCGGCCCGACAGAAATGAAGGCGACAACCTCCTCACACCTCCCGGTCCGGGGACCCTCTTTCGGACCTTTAATGACGCCCCCTGGCCGCTGATTGGCTGGGCCTGACGACGACGAGCGGGACACGGCTCTGGACTGGCCGTCAGAGCCCACTCACCGCTCCTCACCCGCGTCCACTCTCCAGTGTCCCGAGTGAGTCTCAGGGGGCCGGGACTCCGGCCGGGGACTGGGCGGAGCGAGCGCGCCGCCTCCGGAGCGGGAATCTCCACTAAGAGCTCGGGCCTGCAGGGGCGGGGCGTCCTGGGCACCCGCGATTGGCGTGGCCGGGAGCCTTCTCCCGTCGTGCACCGGGGCACCGGCCACTTACCCGGAAGGAGAAGCCGAGGCTGGCTCTATGGTGCGGCGCTGGCGGTGTCGCTGTGGGGAGTGGGTGCTGCTCTCAGGTGAGGGATCGTGGGCGGGACCGCGGGGACAGATCGCTGCTCTCCAGTGAGGCTTGAGCGTCCAGGCTGGCGCTTGGGGGTGGGGTTCTCGCTTGACGTTTTAGGGAAGAGGCTGTCTCACGTCCCGGGATGAAGGCGGGTGCTTGCTCCGGATCCAAGGAAGGAATCCCGGCTTTTCCATTTGTTTTCAAAGTAGAAAGCATCTTTCCTTTCCACTCCCCAAGCAGAATCGCCAAAGGAGAAGAAGGGTCATGGGGCCCATTGCTCCTAGTTCGTTAAGAATGGAGAGGGAGTGGTCAGAGTTAAAGAGTTTGGGGACAATTACCCAAACGGCTAGGGGTAGGAGTAGTGACAAGTATTTTACGGGGATGGAGGCGGTTCTTGCTAGAGTGTGGTCGCCTTTGTGATTTACCTTCCATGTGTAAGGAGTGGCAAATTACAAATGGACAGAAGGATGGAGTGGAGCTGCTTGGTTGGGAATACACAGAACTTGGTCAGAAAAGGGAGCATTCTCTACCACGTGTGGGTGTTTAGGCAGGAGAGCTTTTTGAGTTGCCATCTGGCACCAAGGGCTCAAGAATGAGTAAGAAGGGATAGGAGTATTAGTGGCTCAATATACTTTTATCACCTGATGTAAAATAAATGTTTTTTCATTTATTTTGAGAGAGAGTGGGAGAGAGAGAGAGAATCTTAAGCGGGGTCCGGGCTATCAGCGCAGAGCCTGACGCTTGGCTGGATCTCGGGAATTGTGAGAGCATGACCTGAACTGAAATCAGGAGTCAGATGCTTAACCTACTTGATTACGGTGTTTTTAATTTGTTTTTAACCTCCTTTTGAAGTAGTTTAAATGGGGGTGAAAATGGGAAAGCCTTGAATTACTACCTTGAATTGTTAGGACACTGGAGAGCTTTACAAGGAATCTGCTTTGTATAAAGCAAACAACTGGATTCTTCCCGGAGATATTGGTGCTGGTACAGATGGAGAAAGAAAAGGAAGCTTTGGATGTGATTGAAAGGACCCAGGAAATGCAGTTAGTGCGGAGTGGGATGCATACGTAGCTGTAGCTGAGAGGATCGCTGACTTACCCTTATTTAGATGACCTGGATCCATCTCCCAGATCACGAGCCAAAGTTAAAGAACTTCCTCCTTCCCCTTCACAGGCAGAACTGAGCATTTCCTTGTGAGGAGTGGCATCTATGCGGAGGAAGCTGATGGAGAATAGTAGTTACTAGAAATTATTATTTGGAGTCTGGGTTTTTGTATTTGTTCCAGTGTCTAGCGTTTTTAAGGGCAAGTTACAATTGAAACTTTGTTGGTGCCCTTTAAAGTTAGATTTAAGTATACAGCCTATTGGGGGGTGCTGGGATTTTTTTTTTTTTAAGTGAGTTTATAGCTATTTGTTTCTAAGTGGTTTTAGCCCCAAAGGAAAGGAGAGGGACTTGCACTTGGAGGTGGTGGAGGGCCCTATACAAATTCTACTTGAGCCTCAGAACGATGACCATTTCATTACTAAATTATGGTCCTGAATTTGGCAAACCTTTCAAGGCACAGGAGATGTGTTGAGCCCCACTGAGTGTATGAATGACTGATTTCCTTGTCCTCATCTTTCCCATCGTTACTTTTGTGAAAAAGACACTTCAGAATGTTGAACCCTCTGCTTCTGTGCTGACAGTTTACCAAATGGCTGAAAAGAGAAGAGAAAATTTTATTATTTTTTTTTAAAATCTGAGGTGGTTAACTGTTCACAGCTAGTCGGTCTGTTCTTTTCGGTCACAGGCATATGACTGCTTGTATCGGAGATGTTATACTTTGGGTGTTACGGAATTGGAATTTCCTTTCAGTTCAGGACCCCTTTGTGACAGTGATTTCATCAGATGGAAAAATCAGATTGTCGGCCAGAATACGAAGAGGGTATTACAGTCACAAAAACTCTGGTTTGCTCAACAGTGTAGCCCAATCCTGTCACATACCACGCAGTTTTGTCTCTGTGTGCAGTGGCTAGGGTGGAGAGACCTTCTGGTATTCTGGAAAGAATTGGGGAAGTTGTTTGCTCTGCTAATTGCGTGGTGTAAATGAGCTCCCCTTCTCTTGAAACGTTAGCCTTGTGTTAGCAAAACATAAAATACAAAGAAACTCATTACACACTCTTCTAATGGTAAGGCAGAACTAATAAGAGAATGTGTTTCAAATTAATTGTAGGACTGTAAAAATGAGTGGGTGTGTGAATGGGCATGGGGGGTGGGGAGGAGAGGGAGAGCTTAGAGATAGTCTTGTTTTCCCAGGAGCCAGCCTGGGTCATTTGTTGGCAGTACATATTGGCTGAAGTCAGTTTTCATTTCAAGGTAAATTGGAAAGGGAAATTAAACCTTATTGTTCTGCTCTTAAGAGAGGAGAAGGGGGTGGAGGCGGCAGCCAGGGTGGATGCTGTTGGAGTGGTTCTAGGAGTAACAAGATTAGTGCTGTATTTTAACAGAAGGTGACATCATGGGCCCCTTTGGACTCGAGTAACCCTGTGCTGTAGGCTTCATGGTCCCCTTGTCGGAGTGGGCGATGTCGCTGCACATGTAAACTGCCACACTGGGGGAAATCAGGGGCTTAGGCTTTAATGAATCTTTACAAAAGAGCGGAAAACATCCCGAGCCGACCTGTGTGCAGCTGTGGGGTGCTTGGGCAGAGGTACAAACCGGATAGCATGTCGAGAGAGGAAATGATTGGGAGCCATTGGCTTGGGTTCCGGAGAACAGATTAGATAAAGGAAGGTTGCCACTGGGCAACCCACTCAGGTGCTCCCGGAGCTGTCCAGCTCTATGATTTACCTCTGGGTAGGCGACTGTAGGGTTAGCAAGACAAAGAGAGACTTTTAAAAGCCTTGGTGTTTGTGGGGCGTGGTTGCCTCTAAACCGCCAGGAGGGGGCAGTGTTAGGCTCACTTGCTAGGGTGTGTAGTGTGTGCCGGTGAGACACTACTGTCACCTGCAATCCTCAAGCAGAGGTTTTACAGCTGAACTTGCCTGTTCTGGCTGCTGGAGGTGCACAGACCCAAACCTGCTTTGGCTGGAGGTGGCCTAGTTAAGGGTTCTGGCAGTGGTCTGCACAGGGAGTCAAATCATCTGGGTTTTTAGCTTGGCACTGAGCTACAGTGGGGGGACGGGGGGGGGGATTTTTTGCTTCCTCTTAAGTTTTACACGAGAACGAAAAAAGTTGCCTGGGTTTTCCCAGGGGTTCAATTAAGAATTTTCAGTGTTTTGCCTTGGTGAAGAGTGATAAGAACAGAGGCATACTAACCGTGATTGTTGCCCTGTCTTCTGTCCCTTATCAGATGTTTTCTTCCAATGGGCTTTTGCTGTAGGATGTTGGAAAACCAAGAGCAGGAGGTAAGCGTGTGGTCTCCAGGAAACAGGTGGGTAAAAGTTTGGTGGGATTTGGGAAAAGATGCAAATCATTGCTCCGTGGTATTGTACTGACAGTAATACCTCGGGGGTGCTGATGAGCTCAAAATAAAGGCAGGAGAAGGAAATCCATAGTAAAGCCATGCAGGGAAATGAGACTCCATTTTGACCTTTTCCATTCGTTGGAATATGGTTGAATGTCACATTCACGAGGGCAAGGATTTTTGTCTCTTGTTCACGTTCTGCCCCCAGTGCCTTAGAGCCGAGTCTGACACATAGCCGGTGGTCAATAAATCCTTGTTGAATTGAATGAATAAATGAATGAAAGTTGGTGCTGATTGGAAAAATCTGGCCACCTGTGTTGTCAAAGTTGCCTTACTGTGTGGCTGAGCTGAAGCTGAAGGAGCCTTTCTTACCTCCAGGAGGTGATCACTGTGCGTGTTCAGGACCCCCGCGTGCAGAATGAGGGCTCCTGGAATTCTTATGTGGATTATAAGATATTTCTCCACGTAAGTGCATCACACTTTTGCATTGGGATCAACACTCTCTAGCACTGAGGGCTAGTGCTGAGGCAGAACCTTTTTGTGGGTATTTTGACTGTCCGGAGACAGAAGAAAAGGAGGGAGGAGGGGCATGAACTTGAGATAATGGGTGAGAGTTGCTTTCTAGCTGCCTGGTGGCACCTTGCTCTGGTCAGAGCCCTTGATCAGGCCTGATGGCTTGGATCCTCCGTCAGAGGGACCATGGGGAGTTCATGTAAATTTGGTCTTTTTCTACCTGTTTTTTTTCTTTTTCACGTACTTCCTCCTGTAGACCAACAGCAAGGCCTTTACCGCCAAGACGTCCTGTGTGCGTCGCCGCTACCGTGAGTTCGTGTGGCTGAGAAAGCAGCTACAGAGAAATGCTGGTTTAGTGTGAGTTTGCTTCTGCTTCTTTCTTGGATCTGAGACTGGTGCTTATGTGAGAATCAGAGTTTACAATAAAAAACAAACAAACCTGGCAACGTGTCAGGCACTTAGGAAATTGAGAAATGTGTTCTTAAATTATGTTTTCAAGTCAGTGGAAAAAGTAAAGACAGAGTTCTTATTTCTAGTATTTTAACCTAACAAAGTCATACAAATATCAAAAATAGTTTTCTTTTTTAATATGCATATTCATCCAGGGCTAAACAAGTGTACTGCTAGCATTTTATGTGTGCGTGTCACTGGTTATCAGAAACCTGTTAGCACCTGGACTTAACGTGACCAGTGGTGTTCCTGTCCATTTGACCTGTAAAGAATCTTAATTTTTTTTTTCTTTTTTGTGCAGAGAAATTTTCTGAGAGACATAACAGATTGAGAGACTTAGGGAAAGTAGTATTGTTCACTCCTCACTTATACCATCCCAAATAAGTCCTAAAACTGGAGACAGTTTAGAACAGAATGCTCTGGGGACAGGTGGCCTATGGGTGCCCGAGCCGGTTAGTTAACATGTGGGACTGATGAAGCCGCTGTCATGGGTCAGGTCCTCATTGCCAGTTGGGATTTCCTCTGATGGATCCTGCATCCTATTGCCTGGCCTGTTTTTTTTTTTTTTTTTTTAAGTCTATTTATTTTAGAGAGAGCAAGAGTGTACACATGCACACGTGCATATGAGTTGGGGACAGGGCAGAGAGAGAGGGAGACACAGAATCCGAAGCAGGCTCCAGGCTCCGAGCTGTCAGCACAGAGCCGGATGCGGAACTCGAACTCATGAGCTGTGAGATCTTGACCTGAGCCGAAGTTGGATGCTTACCCTACTAAGCCATCCAGGGGCCCCTGGCCTGTTGTTTTTTTAAAAAATATGTTCATAATAGAAGCTAGGGAGGTTTAAAGAATTTGTGGATGGCTTGCTACAACTCAACTACTTTTAGAAAATTCTAAGCATGTGACCTGCTTGGGTTGGAGGAGGTAGGTCTTAATTTACATGCAGGGACCCAGCAGGCTCCACATCTCCGTGTCCAGGTTTCTTCTTCTTATTTATCTATCTATCTATCTATCTATCTATCTATTTATTTAATTTATTTTTAAAAATTTATTATTTTTGAGAGGGAGAGAATGAGAGAAGGGCAGAGACAGAAGGGGGACAAGGATCTGAAGCAGGCTCTTGTGTTGATAGCAGAGAGTCTGATGCGGGCCTCAAACTCACGAACCATGAGATCATGACCTGAGCCGACGTTGGACACTTAACTGACTGAGCCACCCTGGCACCCCAAGTTTTTTGCTTTTTAAAATAAGAGCTGACAGGGGTGCCTGGATGGCTCAGTTGGTTAAGTGGCTCTTGGTTTTGGCTTAGGTCATGATCTCTTGGTTCTTGGGTTCGAGCCCTGTGTCGGGCTCCATGCTTCCAGTGCAGAGCCTGCTTGGGATTCTCTCTCTGCCCCTCTCTCACAATAAATAATGCACTTAAAAAACAAACAAACAAAAAAAACCTAAAAGCTGATGGTGGGAGTGGGTTTTGTAAACAATGTAGTATAGCAGCAATGAAGTTTTGAAGTCATAGATGTGATTCAAATACCAACTCTGCTGGTTACTAGCTGTGTGACATCGGGAAATTTACTTAACTTCTCTGATGGTGCCTGACACATGGATGTCCCGCAGTCGGTATTAGCCTTGCCCCCCTCCCCACCTTATTAAAAGCTATGTGTATTGATTTGTGCCTCTTTTTAGGGGGTTTCCTTGCTCAGGGGGTGGAATGACTGTCTTTAATGTCACACTCATCTTGGGTGTTCAACATTATGTGACCCCACAGCCCTGTACCTGAACTTCCTGGGAAGTCAACCTTCTTTGGCAGCTCAGATGAGTTCATTGAGAAGCGCCGGCAAGGTCTGCAGCACTTCCTGGAAAAGTGAGTGGGCGTGGTGGGCTAGCACCTGCCTCGTGCGGGTGGGCGGGGAGGGGGAAGGGGCCAGGCAGGATGGTCCCTTTGAATAGACAGGCACATCTATGGTAGATGCCTTTCTCGCACCCCCATACCTTCAGTGCTCCCTCAAGCCGGAAGCTCTTCAGCAAGTGGGGCTGGGGAGGGCAGCTGCTCAGGGTGATGCTGTGTTGTACATCCTGTGTTTTCCCCAGGGTCCTGCAGAGTGTGGTCCTCCTGTCAGACAGCCAGTTACACCTCTTCCTGCAAAGCCAGCTCTCGGTGCCTGAGATCGAAGCCTGTGTCCAGGGCCGAAGCCCCATGACGGTTTCTGACGCCATTCTTCACTACGCTATGTCAAACTGTGGCTGGGTCCAGGAGGAGAGGCGGGGTTCTTCTCACCTGGCTAAAGGAGACCAGCCTAAGAGGTACTGGAGCTCTCATTTCTGAGGCACCGAGGGCTAGGACTACTGTAGCCCGGGCCAGTGAGGTGTCCGTTGGATAGAGAAGGTCCTGTCACGGCATTGGTAGCCTTTCAGAAGAGGCCTCCTTCCCCTTGTGCATGGTTTTCTCATCTTGTGCGCTAGGGTCTGAGCATCTGGGCTACCTCGTCCCTGGGTAGCAGGCTCTCCTATTGAAACTTGGGGAAAAGAAGACTTTCTCATTCTGTTCTTTATTTCTCTCCCCGCCATTTTATGTAATTAATTAATTAATTTTTTAAAAGGTTATTTTATTTTTGAGAGAGAGAGAGAGCATGAGCAGGGGAGGGGCAGAGGGAGAGGGAGGACAGAGGATCCGAAGTGGGCTCTGAGCCGACAGTAGCGAGCCCGATGTGGGGCTCGAACTCCTGAGCTTCGAGATCATGACCTGAGCTGAATTTAGACACTCAACTGACTGAGTCACCCAGGCACCCCCCCCCCAACTCCCGCCCTGTTCAAGTAACAATTTTGGGGCACCTGGCTGGCTCAGTCAGTGGAGCGCGTGACTCTCGATCTTGAGTTTGTGAGATCAAGCCTCACATTGGGTTTAGAGATTACTTAAAAATAAAATCTTATAAAAAAAAGTGACTTTATTGAGTTATAATTTACATATTTTAAAAGTCATCCTTTTAATGTTACAGTTAATGTAGTTTTAATTTGTTCACAAAGTTGTGCAACCGTCAGTCACCATAGTCCATTTTAGAACCCCAATTTTTATCATCCCCAAAGAAACCTTGGACCCATTAGCAGTGACTCCCCATTTTCCCAAACTCCTAACCCCTGATGAGCACTAGTTTACTTTCTGCATCTGTGGATTTGCCTGTTCTGAACATCTCACACAAGCAGAGTCATACGAGGTGTGGTCTTTTGTGCTTGGCTTCTTCGACTCCGCGTTTTCAAGGTGCATCCGTATTGTAGGGGGTTTCAGTGTTTAATTCCTTTTTATGGCCAAATAATACTCCATTTGTATGGCCGGCCCACCGTTTGTTTGTTTGTTCACTTGTGCTTATCTGTTGATTTTTGTTTCTCCGCTCATGCCCTTCTTTTTCCCGTCCCGTCCTTTCCCAGTTGCTGCTTTCTTCCACGATCGGGCAGGAGGAGCTCTCCCTCACCACCTCCCAGGGAAGAAAAGGACCATTTCGAGGTGTGGGCTCCCGTTGTTGACTCTGAAGCTCCTTCCTTGGAAAGCCCCCCTCTGCCACCCTCCCCCTCGCCATCATGCTGTGATTTTACAAGACCCGATGAGGGGACGTCTGCTCCTCAGCCAGTGAGGAGGGCCATGGCAGGGGACCATGCTGTGCCTTTGGACCCTGGGCAGTTAGAAACGGTTGTGGAGAAATGAGCTCTGGTCTGAGCCCTGGGTTCTGCTCCGAGGCGGCAAGGGGACTTGCTGGGGTGGGATCGGGCACAGGGTAGGTGTGGGCGGTTGGGCCACTTAGTGTCTTACGGTTGCCTCTGCTCAGGTTGGTTACACAGAGGCGGGTCGCAATAGCTCCTCAGGCTTCCTCCGCAGGATTAAACACTGTACAGTTGTAAGGTAGGCGTAAGGCCCGCGGGCTGTTGGTTTTGCACGGAAACACTGGGCGGGGGGTGGTATATTTACTCCCCTGGGAGCTGAGTTTCTTTAGATGTTCGTTAATGGACCCGAGAGCATTGCCTCAGGTGACTGGTTTTGGGGACCTGCAAGTGGCAGATTTTAAGCTGTCCTGTTGAATACTGACCCAACAGAAACACTTGCGTAGTTGTATTCCCGGGGGCTGTGTTTTTGCTGTGGCCCTTGGAGCACTTTGTTTCTGGGAGGCTGGCCTCTTGCCTGCCTCCTTTGGTGGACCAGGGGGTGAATGTTGGTTCTCCCACCCCCTCGCTTGCCTTCCTTCACTAATCCCACGGAACGGAACAGTGCTGTGACTCCTCTGTCGCCGGGGTTTCCCGCATATCCTGAGACCTCAGTCTCACCGCGTGGGGCCTGAGCTCATGGCCATCTGCGGAAGAGAAGCGGTTGGTCACAGCCCGAGGAAAGGCAACGGCTCGGGGTTTTGTTTTAGAAAAGACTGTCCTGGGTCCTGTGCTGTCGCTGTCTTTTCCGGTTACAAAGCAGAGATGTGACTGTGTTTTCTGCACGGTTAGCGTGGGCTCCTTTCTTTTTTGAATCCTTCTCTTCTCCCTGAGTAATAGCCTCCTGCCCCCGGGGCTTCAGCTACCACGGTGTCCCTCTGCTGTGTTGCTGTGTTGCAGGGAGGCCGTATGTTCAGTCCAATGGGGCGCAAGGGCTTTGTCTGTGCCTGGAGAGAGGGCTCTGGGGATGGAGGTGAGGAACGACACGCCTTCACACAATGAGGCATTCTGCCCTCCTGCTGCCATAATTCCTCTCCGTGGAGAGCCGAGCGGCTAGGAGCCCAGTGCCGCTGGCGGTGTGCATTGCGTGGCGCTTAGGTGTGGGTGTGGGTGTGCGGTTCTCCTCTCGCCCACCCCCCCCTCCTCTGGCCAGCCCGCCCTGTCTGCGGGCTCCTTTAATACCAGCCTGTGCTGTGGGACTGTCATGGCATTTAGTTCAGAGTTGAGGGGCTTTGGCCTGAAATAAAATTCCAAGTATTTAAGACGGTTGTTGCCATTCGTGTCTAACAAGCTGTAGCAGAGGAGGAGGGAGGGAGGGCTGGCAGTAGTTGCTTTCATAAATCATGAATTTATCAGCGTGGAAATAACGGTTCAGAGCCGGGGGCCGCAGCTCTCCGGCACTGTGTGTGCCGCGCTAGTCCACCGCTGGAGGAAGGGTCGTCTTCTGGAGAGCCAGGATCCGGCTTTTCTCGCACTTGTGGGCATGAACCTTGTTAGGGATAATTTACCTGCTGCCGCTTCCGTCCTCGCAGCCTGTCTGAGGTGCCAGGTGCTGAAAGAGAAATAAAGTTTGTCAACAGGCAGATGCAGAGCCCTGGCTGGGACCCATCCCTCTTTCCTGCCCGCCTCCCCTGGGTCTCTCCTTTATATGATGCAGCGGAGCAAGGCGAGGCTAGAAAACCTACAGAGGCAAATCCAAAATGTCAAAAGAAGTTCATTTAAAAGGGGAAAAAAACTCCATACGCAACCCTCACAAAAACCCGACAGATGCTAAGCTAATGGCATCCGCTCCGCCGATTGGTGGGGATGACTCATGAATATTAATGAGTCCAATGCTCCAAATGGTGCAGCTGTGAACCCAGCTGTGCCTGAAGCTCTCTGATCTCGAAACTTCCAGACAGGAGCCGGAGGTGGTCTGTGTCAATTCCCTACTCAGCCAAAAAACAGCAAGCTGGGTTGGCCTTCTTCTGTTCGCTCCTTTTCTTCCTGGAGTTGGTGCTCAGCAGCTAGTTCTGCCAGCAGGGTAGGCTGCTGGGACAGCAGGAGCCGTTCAAAGACACGGATGCGATTTTTCTGACTCCGGCTTTTTTAATGATCCATTACCAGCAGCGCGTACCACAGCAGCTCAGTCAATCCAAGGCCAGGCGCCATCCCAGCACCGTCTTGTGCACAGTTGAGTGTATGCCATGGGAGGAGATGTCCTAAGAAGGGAGGGGAAGAGATTTTCTGATGCGGGCCTGGAGTTGCCAGGAAAACAGCAAAACCAGAATTTCCTCTCCATGCAGGCAGTGCCATTGGCCTGTCACGTTTTACTCCGTCCCTGCGTGTGCTAAGGGCCGGCTACCAGGGCTGGTGAGCTCAGTAGGGAAGACTGGGGAGCCCCTGGGGAGAGGGGCTGGCCCAGCTGTACTCAGCTCAGCTTTTGTGGAACTCAAGTATTTTGCGTTTGAACTTAGATTTGAGCTGGGCTCTGTGCCTGATGTAGTCACCTTTTTTCTGACTGCTGCTTCTGTGGCCCAAGTCTGGACTCTCCTGTTACCCGGGATAAGTGTGCTCATGCTCATGGCTTTCATCTTGTTTGGTGGATGGAAGGGGGTGTGTGTTTGGGGGGGGGGGG